CCTGTCTTTGCTTCCCCCTTTACCCGCCATGCCCTGATCACAATGTCACAGGGATGTCAGTGAATTCTGAAAAGCTCTTGAGTCTTTCCTCCAGGGTTAGACGATCACATTAGGCCTGACGGGTGGGGGTCTTCTCGCTGGCCCCATCGGTCGGAAAAGGCCGTCCCAAAGAATTCTTACAAAGTCAGTTATTAAATTACAGGAATGAAGAAGAGGACCATGGCCCCCTCCAACTCGTATGGTGGTTTGTAGTTTCCAAAGCACTATCACTTGGCCCTCCTGACAGCCTGAAGCAGGCAAGGTGAGGATCATCATGCCCATTTTACAGATGAGGAAAGGGAGGCTTAGAAAAGTGAAGGACTTCTACAAAGTCACACAGACAATGAGCAGCAAAGCCAGGGATTGGTCCCCTGTTCCAGGCTTTTGTTTATTTATTTTTCTCTTCATTTCAGCCTCTTTTTGCAGCAGTGGGTGTCCCTCCAATTTCCTCTTCAAATCTTTGGACCCAACTTTCCTTCCTACTGCTGGTGCCTCCTACTTGCGACTTCTTTCCACATGTCCCATTTCACCGCAGCCAGGAGAACCACTCCTCTAGAGAAGGCTCATTAAACAAAGGCATCTGAAGGGCTCCTGGCAACTCTCCACTTTCTAATGACAGCCATTATTACCAGCAAATGATAGAAAACAAACACGAGGACAGATGTCTCTCTTGAGTCCAGGCCTGCGCTGGAATAGAGGGCAAACAAAAACTCCACTTGCATGAAATGCCTACCTTTGCCATGCTCAGTGAATTAATTCTGCACATGAGATATGAAGGCGTTCCCTCCTGTCTGCAATCCAGATACTTGATGAGTTAGATCAAGACACTAGACATTCCCCTGTGACCCTAGACATTAGGAGACAGATGGAAAGAACTCTGAGATAATCCCACCATCTTCCCAGATAAGGAAACAGAAAAATATGTGACCAGCCCAAATGTTGTGGGAAAATAAAGGAAATATTTTCCTCCTTTTGGCTGGAAAGTAGTATTACATATTTAGGGGACTCAGAAAATTAACAGTGACCACAAATCAACTATTTTTAAACTTACTCTTTCAGATAGAGTGTGCTAGGAACCAAGAAGCAGAAACAAGGAACTACTCAACTCAATTTGCCTTCAAAAACTTACAATATAATTAGTAATAGTCTTAAGGATGAATGAGAAGAGGAAAAAAAAAAAAAGGAGAGGTTTTACAAATAAAATAGAGAGACCAGGATCTTCTGAGGGAGACTGGGAAGCTTTGAAAAGAGATGTCCGTTCAGCCCAGTCACCAGAGTAAAAGGCTTCAATATCTTCCTTCTCTTATTTATTCTCCATGTCTTTCCTATTCCAGAAAGGATATGCGGCAGCTAAAAGCCACTTTAGGGTTTAAAATTTTTAATGTGCAGATTACTGGAGAGCAATTAAAGAAAAAACACTACCCATAAAAAAATGTCCAAAGGTAAAAAAAAAATTAATAAACATGGGTTGATACATTTACAAAAACATCAGTGGATATTCAAAACTCTGAGTCCTGTCCACCAGGGTAAAGGTGAACAGGAAAAGAAAGGTTTGTTTCTCCCTTTGGCTTGGAAGTCACAGCACCACTTAAGGGGCAGGAACATCTCTCCCTGCGATAAACCCAGTTTATCCTTCAGTGGTTTGGGATTACCACCAATTCTATTGCCGACTAATTACAGAGTTGAAGCAGTAATTAACATTTCAAAAAAGGAACAGCATCACGGGTTTACTGTGAAGGAGACCGGCATTCTGACTCCTCCAGGGACCTTCTGGTTCTTGGTTGATAAAGTAACACAGGGGAGGTGACAGTGGAGGCATTTCTGACACACAGGGGCAGGGACGGGACTTGGGTCAGCATGCGAGGCTGTGGCATCAATGTGTCAGGGTGGGGCTGCAGAGGCCATTCCAAGAGGAGTGTGGGCTCCAGGGCACCTGAGCTGAACCCACCCATGAATGAACCCACCTGTGAAAATTAGGAACAGCCGCAAGGAAAAAGGCTACAGGGTGTGTTGTGGTTGCATTGCATCCCCCAAAAAGATATGTTGAAGTCCTCACCTTTGGCGCCTACAAGTGTGACCCTATGTGGAAAGAGAGCCTTTGCAGATGTAATCAAGTTAAGATGAGGTTGTTAGTGTGCATCTTAATCAGACTGTTATCCTTCCAAGAGGAAAGTGTCATGTGTAGACAGAGACACACAGAGAGAACACCATGTGATGACAGAGGCAAACAGTGCCAATCAATCAACACCCAGAGCAGAAGCGAAAAGAGGCAAGGAAGAGAATCTCGGGAGGAGCACGGCCCTGCTGACACCTTGATTTTGGACTTCGAGCTTCCAAAACTGTGAAACGGTCCATTTGTGCTGTTTAAAGCCACCAGTGTGTGGTCCCTTCTATGGCAGCCTCGGAAACTCGCGCAGGTGAAAGAAACAATCAGTGCGGCGAGGGAGGGCGAAGGAGGTGGGGGGTCACAGGGGAAGAGCACTGAGAGCAGGCCAGCAGACCAGGCCCCCTGCACAGGAGGGTGGGGCCTCGCACTTCAGACCTCTGGTTTCACCTCCTCCTCTTCCTCCTGCTCTGAACGGCGCTCTGCTCCTAAGAGGCCAGAGGCAGCCAGCCCTATCCACACTGGAGAAGACAGAGGCTCAAAGGACATCATGCGGCCCAGGCTCCTGGCTCCCGTTCCATAAACCCTAGGACCAGTGATCCCCAGCGTGGCATAATGCCACCTCTGCCATCACACCTAAGACAACACTGATTGTGAAACGCATCATTACGTTACATAAGAAAAAATCCTGCCAATAATAATAAGATGTGATTACTGTACAATACATTGCTGATTTCAGAGATATTCAAATAAAAAATTATCTCAAAAATAGATCAAATATGGGGGAAAAGATCCAACACGTTTGGGGAGAAGGCAGGTAAGCCAGGTTAAGCAGATCTTTTTCCTCTGGGCCTGTCACCGCCTATTTTGGTTGGTGTCTGTTATGAATCCCTTTGCGGGGGCTGCAGAAATGTTGATTTTCCCAATGAGTCTGAGTACTGAGCCTTGTTTTGAAGAGCGGCAGACGGGGGCAAGTGTACTAGTGTACTTGGATCACACCCTGAGACCCCCAACCTGGAAATGGTTTGGGAGAGAGGAAGGGAGAGCACCCCAGCTGACATCCAGCCCTAGGACGGGGAGCTGGCTGAAGCGGGGTCAGGAGGAAAGGGGTGTGTTAGCCCTAAGCAGTCACACAGAACCAGATACCCCAAAATCATCAGGTATCCTTCTGAGCTCTTCCAAGTAAAGTGGGGGCACGCCCACCCCTCTCCCCTCCCCTTCCTCTCCTCTCAGCTGGTAGCAGGCACAGACAGGCCTCTCCTACAGAACGCCAGGACTCCACTAGCTAATCCTGGCCGTGCATGCCATCCAGGGCTAGGAAAAGCAGGAGTGAACTACAAAACCCTGGGCACACCACAGTCCAGTCACTCTGGTGGCCAGAATTTCTTTGGTAGTTATTGCAACGTGAAACTGCTGGTAACAAAGACCTTAAAGAGAACCAAAGGATAGAAGTGAGGGAGATTTCAAATAGTCAAGAACCATCAGAAATACAAACACCAATGTGTGTGCATGAAGCAAAGCTCGCCGGTGGCCACAGAGCAAACAGAGCACATGCCCTTCCGTAGCATCTGAATCTTCCAGGACTTGTCAAAGCTGGCTGCGGGCACAGCAGGACTTTCTCACAAGCCCTGCCCTTGCCCACCTTTCATGCACACCAGCTGCAAGAGCTGCAGTTTCCCTGACATCCATTTTGCAGGCGGCATACCAGATGCCCCAAATCTCAGCTTTGCACAGGCCCCCAGAGCATGGAGTGAGGGCTGTACTCTTAGGGTGGATACTCACAATCTCAGGAAAAGCTTCTCTCCCTCTCTCCTGTGCAGGTGAACCCCAGCCTAGAGCACAGATCACAGCTCAGAGCAGATCCCTGCACAAGCTGGGGCAGGCACAGTACCCACCCCTGCAAACTACTACCTGCGGGTTGGCTGGACGGAACAGTCTCCACGCAGCAGGCCAGGCTGTGCCCTCTCAGCCTCCACTCTGTCACGCTCAGGGACTGAGCACCCCCAGCTCCCCACTATGGGGTATGGGCCACACAGACACACACCAATGGGATAATTGTTTTTTTCTTCAATTCTATCTCCCCTTACCATTCCTCTGCTTTGGGAGCTACCTTGATTCAGCATCTATAAAATCTGTTCAGATGAGGACTTGAATCTCCCATCTTGAGCCTGAGACCCACCTGGTCACTGGGATTGCTACTTTTTTTGTAGGAGGCCTTGATGCCCTGATGGGAAGATTCTCCTAAAATGAACTCTTCATTTGTTCTGAAGACATAAGCATCTCTAAGATCTTACACAGCATCTGTAAGGTCCATAAATACTACACTTTCTTTTCTTTTTTAAAAATAGTTTATTTATTTATTTACTTACTTACTTACTTATAGAGAGATGGGAAGGGAGGGAGAAAGAAAAGGAGAAACATTGATGTATGAGAGAAACATCAATTAGTTGCCTCTCGCATGTGCCCAGCCAGGGACCTGGCCCGCAACCCAGGCATATGCTCTGACTAGGAATTGAACCAGTATTCTTTCAGTTGGTGGGACAATGCCCAACCCACTAAGCCCCACTAGTCAGGGCAATATACTACGCTTTCATATCACAAGCCACTAGACAGGACAATAAGGGCAGGTCAGCCTTGTCCAACCACGGTATCCCTAGTGCCTGACACATGGTGGATGTTCAGTAGACCTATGTTGGATGGATGGATGGATGGATGGATGGGAGAACAGGTGGATGAAATGGTAAATGAATGAATGAGTAGATGAGTCAGTGAATAAATGAAGAAATGAATGAAAGTTGGAATGATGTTTTCACAGAGCATTCAGCCCTTAGAGCTGATCTTTGGATAAAAGACTCACCTGAACCATCAGGAATGGACCTTACAAACGTTGGCAACATCTTGACTGTGGCTGTCGGATTAAAATCCCGGGAAAGACCGTTCTTCATCTCCTTCTTGAAACGAGTCATTATATCTATCAGAGTTTCATCGGAGAGCCGCATGGCATAGAGATACTTGTCAATCTGGGGGAAGGATGAGAAGGAAGGAGAGTGAGGAGGGCCGCTGCAGTTCAGATTTGGCTACGGAAGGACAGGGCAGGTGAGGTTTCCACTTGCCTATGTCTATCCAGGCTCCAGCAGGCACTTGACCACCTATGTTGGCATGTCACAAGATGGGAAGTCATGCAAATGCCATCAACCATGTCACTCAGAGCACACTTGCAAATGCTCTGAGCCCTAATTCCTCCCCTGTAAAATGAACCAAATATCTCCAAGACATTTGGTTCATTTTACAAGACATCTGAAGCCTCAAATATTACATGGAAGCTGCCCTCTGATCCCCAAGGACATACCAGAGGCACCTTAAGCTTCCACACAACTCCTTCCCTCTATAACAAGTGGCTGGCTCATCCTCACATGAATGGCAGTGCTACAGAGGTTAAGAATGAGAGCTCCAGGGTCAGCAACCGGGGTTCAAATCCCAGCCCCATCACTTAACAGGTATGTAAATTTCAGCTTACTCAACTGAAAAACCAAGATGACTTATAGGACCTAACTCACAAAATGTTGTAAGATCAAATGAGATGGAAAAGCACTAAGGACACAAAGTGCTGGACAGACATCAGCTGACTAACACGAGACAGTGGGCTGATGGGTTTCCTTGGCTGTGATTTCTAGGTAGGTAGAAATAGCAGCTGAAGGGCTAGAACCCTTCGGAACATGGGACAACAGGACTAGAGCAGAGACTTTAACCTCATCATCCCTAGAAGGTATGGAGACAGCCCCCCAGGCTCCCGTGCCCATGTCCTACGGCTGATGTGATCACGCTTCCAAGTCATACGATGTATTGACCCAACCTGCTCCTCCTCCTGAGTCCCCCTTCTCCTCAAGGTTCCCAGGCTCCACCTCCGGCTCCCTGGGCTGTCCATTGGTTGTTCTTCCTTCATAGTATCTTCCTATTTATTCTCTCAAAAAGTATTTATTGGGCACATTCTATGCGCCTGGCTCTGGGCTAGATATCTGTCCTCATGGTGCCAGTCCACGTGTTCACCAGAAGTCATTTGGAGTCACCATTCATTCTTTTTACCATTTCTCAACTTAGGAAGCTCTGATAACCACATGTGTAGATTACTGATTTCTGGTCACTCACTCATTCACTGTAGTAGCCTTCCATCTGCAATCCCTCAATCTTCCAACTAATCCTCATACACCACTGCCACACTCGCCTTCTTAAACTGTAAACCTGGTCAATTCAGACCCCTGCTCAAAGCCTTGTCATGCCTCCCCATGTTTGAGGCACCTGTGCTCTGTAGGTGTAGCTCTACACCAAGCCTCCTCTACCTTTCCTGGTAAGTGCTGGGCTTTCCTACTACAATGCCCTTCCCTCTCTTCCCAGATACCCAAATCTCACCTACTCTCCCATGTTCAGATCAAATGTCATCTCCTCCTGCAGATGTCTGAGTCCAGCTAGAGATAACCCCTCCCTCAGCACTGATGTCACCCCAAGGTCTAGCCAGGGTCACAGCTTTCTGCACCTGCCACCTTGACAATGTCTGCTCCATTCGCCTCGAATGCCCAGGGCGTCGCATGCACCCTTGCATACAGAAGGCTCCTGGTGGATAGAGAGACAGATCTATGGCCCAGAGAGGCTGAAAAGACCCTGATGCCAATTTGCTTCTGAGAATGGAATTCCATGCTCACTTTTCAGGGTGGCTGGAAATGTCCTGACTCAAGGACACAGTCCTAGGTCATTTCTGCATATTTTGCTCCCAGGCCGCCTTCTTGCTTTGGTCTCCAAGCCTCGTGCTCCCCCAGGCCCTGCCTACTCCTGCCTCACTGACAACGAAGGCATTGGCCCAAGTCCCTCAGCATCCTGTGTTTAGAGACAATCCTGCCCCCACCGCCAATCTCTGCTACTTTTCCTTTCCCCTTAGTGGCAAAGCAAAGAAGAGCAATCAAAAACCAATGAGAACTGACGTAGAAAATGCCAGAATCACAACCCTATGGGGAAACATGCTCTGTTCTACCCCCAAGGTTGGCAGCACCGGATCAGCAGTCCTGGCCCCCACGGCACCCACTGTCTGCTGAGGGTGCAGTGGTCAAGATACAAGTGTGCCTGAGTGGCCACAGAAGCACTCGGGGGTCTACTGAGCACAAGCCAGAGAACAGTGCATCCAGGCACAAGCATGAGCATGTGTGAAGGTCAAAGGCAAGGGAAGGTGCTTTGTGCAATGAACAGAAATAAATTCCATATGGATCAAGGACACAGTGTTAAGTGAGACAAGTGAAAAGACTTTCAAGAGCTAAACCGTGCAGGGCTCTATAAGCCACATAAACAAATCTAGATTGACTCCAAAGCACGGCGGGGCTTGGTTAAATAACTCTAATGAGTATTCACAAATAAGATCTGTGTTTAGAAAATACCAGGCTGTGTACCGAGTAGAGAATGGGCAAGCGGGTGCAGGTCTTGCAAAATAGTCACAATGCTACTCTAGCACTTTGGACATGCTTCGACTGCCACACTCCTCACCCTATATATATTATGGTTATCTGTTTATTTACATTCCCATCTCCTCTGATAACGTGTGACTTCCCCAGGGGAAGGAAACATGTGGAACAGACCTTTGGAAGTCACCCAGTTGCCTGGTACAAAATAGAAATTCAATTAATGCTGGACGCTGGAATAATACTTTATCATTATGCCGTGATTTACAAATGATTTCACATCCAGTATGTCATTTAATCTTCAAAACGACCCTGTCAAGGAGACATTTTTAAGCCCCATTTTACCCTTATAGTCAACCCCATCCCACTACCCTGCGGAGGACAGGCCCAAAGTAAAGCTGCTGAGGCTTTCCAGTTGGACAGGGAGAAGCTTCTAGAAAAGGCAGGGCTCTCCATTACTCCACACGCACCCTGCCTCCTAACTCAAGGTGCAGCTCAGCACAAGGACACCGATCTGAAAACCCCAATGTTCTAGGGCAGCCACGCCAAACCCAGATAGAGCCTAGCAGGCAGGAGGCAGAGAAAAACCTGTCCCCCGAGGGTCTATGGAAGGAGGGCGTACCTCCCCTGCTTCAGGTTCATCAATTATCATCCCATGGCACAATCCCTCTCCAAAGAGATGTGGAAACCGGGGCCAAAAAGAGGGTACAAATTGAGGGAGAGGCGGCACCGAACTTGAGGCCTCCTGGATCTCGTGTGAATAAGGATAAGCTGAGGGGAGCCCTTTCCACTGGTCTGCAGGAGATCAGGAGGGGCCCCTCAATCAGCGGAGATGCTGGGGCTGGGGCTGCCCAGGCCCCCACTACTCTGCACACCTTGCTGAACGAGGGACTTCCTTCCCCTCATTCAGACCAGTCTCGGGCTGCCGCTGTCCACCTGGGAAGGGGGCCGAGAATGGGTGGTGGTAGAAGGAGGTAGAAAAGAAGAGCGTCAGGGAAACCACTCCTGCCTGTTCGCTCCGGATCACAGCGTGGCTGTGCCCTGTGAGAAACCCAGCAACAGAGCTGCTACTTCTCCTTACGGAAGGCGAGGCCAGAAGCCCAGGAAGGGTAAGAGGGCAGAGGATGTAGACCTTGAAAAGGACAACTTCTGGTCTTCAGAAGTTTGGCAAAGTTATGGTCCTTTCAACCTTCCTATTTTGGTTCCCTCTTCGCTGCGTCTCCAGATCTCTTCCTCTTCCCGCTCTGTTTCTCTCACTTCCACTTCCCCAGTCCTTCCTCTTCTCTTAGGATGCTCCCTCCAGCTGCTCTGGCCAAACATCGGTGCCCAAGCAATCCCTCCTGTGCCTCCAACCCCCAGCCCTACATTCTGGTGACCGGAGGGCACAGCACACAATCTCTTTTAGTGGTTTCAAGCTGCAAACTCCAGCCTTTGGAACACCTGTCACAAGATGGCTGCCATTGCACACGGGCATGCAGGACTCTGGGCGGGCTGGGAAGGATGTGGGGAGGTGCCAGGACCCCAGACACCACAGACCAAGCAGAGTCGTGCAGACTCTTGGCTGAGACTGAGGAGGACCCCGGTCCAGCCTCCAGGGTAGCTTTCACCCAAAGAGGGAAGAGCCCTTCTAAGGAGGGCGAGAGCCAGGTCGGCCGCACAGGGTGGGCAGTTTCGCCCAAATATTGGGTTGGCCAAAAAATTCATTCATTTTTTTGGTAAGAGGGCTCTAGTAGCACTTAGTTGTTTTTAATGTCATTCAAAACAATTTTGTTAGATTGCACTGTAACAGCTGTCATATCAGCATGCATTAAAAAGAACTTATCAAAATTGGTGAATTTTTGTGTAGCCATTTTAATATTGAAGATGGAAGAAAATACGCAACATTTTTTGGCATATTACGCTTTATTATTTCAAGAAAGGTAAAAACACAACTGAAACACCAAAAACAAAAACAAAAACAAAAAAGGTCTGTGCAATGTATGGAGAAGGTGCTGTGACTGATAGAACGTGTCAAAAGTGGTTTGTGGAACTTCATGCTGGAGATGTCTCACTGGACGATGCTCCAGAGTTGGGTGGACCAGCCGAAGTTGATAACGATCAAATAGAGACATTAATTGAGAACAATCAATGTTATACCGCATGGGAGATAGTCAACATACTCAAAATATCCAAATCAATAAAGTTATGGATGGAAATGAAAAACGTGTCTTTTATTTTAAGAAAAAAACTAAATAGACTCTTTGGCCAGCCCAATACTAGGAAGTACTTGTCCTGAATTGTCCTTCTTGTGGACCAAGGGAGCCTGGAAGCCCCAGAGGCTGGAATGCGGCGGAGGCAGCTCAGGAGATGTCAGAAGGGAGAACACAGCCTAGCCAAGTCCCTGGTCCAGAGCCGCCAGCTAATGAACAAACCCAGTGGCCATGCACTGTGCTAAACTCAACCTTGCTCAACCTTGGTGCCCCTTTTGCTCCCAAGAGAACACGCACAGGACATCAATTCAAGACCAGACATGCCCAAGTGAACAGGCCAGTCGTGGCAGGGGGTGTAACCACTGGTGACCTGGGCACTTTGCCTTACTGTGACAGGGGGCACAGCCATGGAAAATTTTCACTCCCTCTCTCGTCCTCTCCTGTGAGGATCAAGAGTAAAGCAGGGCAACAGGTGTGACTGAAGGTGCCCAGTGCAGGCCTTTAAAATGAACCTCGTGAAAAGGAAACCGGGGAGCTGGCAGTGAAGGGTTAAGAAGGACTCTTGCTTAAGGGCAGGGCAGAGGTTTCAACATGGGATTCACTTCTCATTCCTAGACTGACTCAGGAGAGAACAGGTCCTGGGTGACTGATATTATCTTAACAATAGCTCACATCTGCAGAGGGCTTTTTCATTTACACACAGGACTTTCACACATAGTAGCCCATTTGGATGTCACAGAAAGTGATGAGATGAGCTCACAGATGCCAGGTGCTGGGCATGAAACAGGGGCTTAATATTAGTTCCCTTTCTCCCAGCACAATGACCCAGTGAAGTAGGTAGGAAAGAGAGTGTTGATGTTTTATAGCAGAGGAGATTGAGACCCATGACTCACAAAAGGTCACATGGTTTGTAAATGACAGCTGGGTCTAGAATCCAGTCTTCTAACCTCTAATTTTGGGCTCGCCCTTACACTCATCTATTCTTTCTCAAGTGGTGGGAAGAACATGGAGCCCTGGGCAAAGAGAGCTGAGTTCAAATCCAAGATCTACCATTTATTAGCTATGTGACTTTGGACAAGCCATATATAACTTCTTTGAGTTTTACTTTCTTCACTTTTAAGATGAAGATAATAATACTTTCACCTCTGACAGCTTCTGGGAGAATTTTAATACTGTTCTAAGAACAAAGGAGGCATCAGATATCATTTCCCACCCTCCCATCTAAAAGAATGGGAGGCCACCTCCCTCCCTCCCCTGACTGACCGAGGTAAGTACATGTCCCTAACGCCTTCTACCTAAATACGCAGGAAATGCACTGGTTACCAAATGTTATGGAGCCCTTTTGTAGAAGAGAAAACTAAAGGTAGGTGGCACTATGCCTAAAACCATAGCAAATGAAAGATTCTGGCAGTCCTCTGAAACATTTGCGGTTTTATTAATTTTTAAAAACAACTAACAGTAAGTTATAGTGAGAACAGTAATACACATTTATTATTAAAGGATATCCAAACAATACATAAATGCATGAAAGTAAAAAGTATGAGTTCTTCCCCCCATATCCCAGGGATAGCCCTGCAAATAGCTTTATGTTCTAGGTCGGTTTTCCTACATAAACAAACACTTAGACATACAGAGCTTGGTTTATTTCACTTTTCAAAATTGGAATCATATCATAAACACTTTCTCTTTTGAAACCTTAACTCTGCCTTCTTATTTCCCCTGGGAACTGCTTCTAACAGCCATACTTAGATTTCCTCCAGACCCTGCCTGCTTCAGTGACGGTGCACAGGCGAAGCAACAGAGACACCTGCGTTTGACTCTGGCTTGTCATCCTGTAGGAACCTCAGTCTTCCCATCCACAATGTGGGTGTGTTTGTGACTTTGATCCATAAAGGCCTCTCTACTTTGCACAGCACTTTTACATCGTGGTCCTTGAGCTATCCTGTCCAGAGAAGTAGGGGAGGTGTCACCACTTCCAACACCCCAAGGAAAATCGGGGGCTGGAGAGGCTCTCCAACTGGCCAAGATGACTCACTGGTCAGCAAGGGAGCTGGAGTGGACATGGGTTCCCCGATGCCTGGTCCCATGCTCCTTCCTGTGCCTTTCTTGCTCAGCCCAGGGAAAGCCCTGGCCAGGGGCTTCCTGGAGCACGGAGATACGAGAATACTGGTGGCATTAATGCCACAGCTCTGTCCATGCCAGAAGCAGCATGGCTTTCCTGCATTGCAGAAAGCACACTACTGCCATTTGAGTTTTAGGAAGCCTTGTTCATCTCACACCAGCTACAAGTTGCCTGATCTGCTCATTTCCCCTTTTATGCAATCCGGAGAAGGAAGTACAAAAGCCATAGCGAGTCCAAAGATCCTAGCCCAACAAGACCCTCTGCTGTGGTGTGTGCCCCACCCCATCCTGTCCCTTGGCAGAGTCCCAACGCCTTTGCCTGCCTGCCTATGGCTACCTGGGCTGTGGGTGGTGGCCAGAGGAACCTAAGTTTCTGTCCTGCTCTTAGCTAGCTGGTCACAGGGGAGGGAGTCGGCCACAAAGGGAGGCATTTGGCTCTGTGGGTTCCCTGCAGGAAGCAGCTACTCCCAGCGCACGGCTGTCCTCCCTCAGGCAGCCCAAGCCTGACAGTGGTTCTTTACCCCCAAAGGACCTTCCTCACAGATTCAGTGTCCACTCTGCTTGCTCGGCCTGTGCATGGCCTCTCCACGCGCCGCTCTTCCGTCTCCCAAAGCCCATCTCCACACTCACCTCCTCCAAAGGGCATGCCATGATCCGCCCCCCCCAACAGCGGCTGCTCCCCTCCTCGGCATCCCCTCGGCCGTTGGTGTCGCTATGTAGGAATTAATTTCCCCTGGTGGATGCGTCGCCGAGTAGGAGTCTTTCGTGGGCCCTGAAGCAACACATGCATGGTCTGTGCCTACAGCTAGACCCCGAGTGCCAGGGGTGCGGGGACCATGCCTTCCAGGCCTTCTGTGTCCCCCTAAAGCCCTCAATGTGGCTTCTCGGCTGGGCTGGGTGGCTGTTCTGCTGGGCGGGAGGGCCCCTGGTGACGCCTAGCCCGGGAGCTCAGAAGGGTTTGCTGTCTCAGATAAGGCCGGAGGCTCCTCTTCCCTGAATGGCCCAGCCCTTCTCCAGCATCAGCCCCTCACTTTTGACCTGTGTGGGGCCAACGGCTTCCGACTGAGGGACACAGTGTTCCAGGCAGCCTCTAACCCCCCTTCTTCTCACAACGTCTGTATCTCAAGGCTGACGCCCTGAGGAACACAGAGCCCTCTGAGGATTCTCAGGCCTCTAGAGCCTCCCAGAGACTCTGCCGAATATCTGAAAGTCACCAGAGGAAATGTGGGAAAGCAAATTCCACTTTAGAGACTCCCCAGTGAAAGATGGGTGTACGAACATCACCAAAGCAAAAAGGGTCCCTCTAGCAAGTTAAAACAGTGTGAGGGTGGCTCCCTAACCCCAGTTTCTTTTTCAAGGCCCAGACACAGCTCTCAGTGGCTTCTTCATCATTTTATTTATGCCTCTGAACTGTTAGTTCTGTTTCACCATTAAGCACCCAGGGTTGCTGTACGACACTTTTACTCTCAAAAAACAAGGAGGAATAATGGGATTTGCACTCTTGATGCAGAAACTGAGGTCCCAGGAACCAAGATGTAACAGTTAGCTTGAACAGGCCGTGCTGGGCCCGTCAGCCTGCCCTGATCCGATCTGCAGGGTGGGTACTATTGACCCCATTTCACAGGAGGAACCTGTGGCCACACAGTCAAGCGAAAGATCCCGAGCACCCAGCAACCAGGGCAGCTCCAGCTTAAGACTCCGAACTCAGCGCTCCTTCCCTTATTCCAGACGGCACTAGCCAGGAGTACCACAGGAAGCCTTGAGGTCATGCCTAAGGTCCTCCCAGTGACCTTGGCACCCATTAACAGATGTTTCCTAGCTGGTGAGAGAAACCAAGATGCTGCCCAGGACGTCACCAAAGCTGTCATACTGAACTAGCTAAAAACAAAGGAGGCACCCGGTCCCTCAAGGGGAACGGAACAGCCCTGGAATGTGGCAGGGCAGGAACAACAGGCTTCATTCTGGGTGTTGTTGGCTGGGGCAGAGGGCCAGCCTCTAGGCTCCCAGTCCCCAACGTGGCAGGTACCAAGAAGGAAAGGAGATCCAAAGTGCGGACAGTTTTGCTTTCACTATGAGACAACGAGACCCTAACGCCACCAGCTGCATACCGTACTACAGGGGGATGGGATCTGGCTAGAAATCAAAAGACCTCAGGCCTCCTTTAGCTACAGCCCCCCTCTCTAGCCTTGAGCAACTCACTTCTTTCTCTGTTCTTCCATTACTAAACAGCAATAATAAAAACTACCCTCTCACCCTGGCTGGTGTGGTTCAGTAGATTGAGTGCCGGCCTGTGAACCAAAGGGTCGCTGGTTCAATTCCCAGTCAGGGCACATGCCTGGGTTGCAGGCCAGGTCACCAGTTGGGGACATGCAAGAGGCAACCACACACCAGTGTTTTTCTCCCTCTCTTCTCTCTACTTTTCCCTCTCTCTAAAAATAAATAAATAAAATCTTAAAAAACAACAACAACAACAAACAAAAAACTACCCTCTCGCCCTCACTTATGGCTAAGGAGCTCCATGGCAATGGCAATGGATTCCTCAGAACACAGGCTTTCCAGAAGCGCATGCTGGTCAAGGCAGAATTGGTCCCAGGATCACTGCCCCACTCGGGGCCCTGGCCACCTAACCTGTTATCCAGAAAATGGCACTCCCCCACCACGCCTCTCCAGGTGTGTTCGGGGTGAACCACCCTGGTACCATCCGGCATTTGTATAGTTCTGTACGCTCTCCAAGTGTTTCCACATCCATTCTCTAATTTGATAAATGGGCAGATAATAAGGCAGGACTCATTTACCCCATCTGACAAGTAAGTAAACTGAGGCACAGAAAGCTTGATGCAAACAACACTGCCCAAGCTTAAAGGATCCTTTGAGGTAATGGATTCCTGGCCTTACAGAAGAGGAAACTGAGGCCCCAGGACCCTGAGAACTCACTGCTTTAAAGGCAGAGCGCTTCTGTCCAAACTTCTGAGCCGTAAAATCCACTGTCTAGTAGCGTACTGTCCAATGGGGATACAACGGAAGCCACATGTGCAATTTTAAATTTTCTAGTAGACCCATTTTTAAAAACCAGGTGAAATTAATTTTTATTAACGTTTTATTTAACCCAGTATATCCAAAATAGTATTCCTATGTGTAATCAATATTTTAAAATTTACTAATGAGCTATTTTATATACCGTTTTGTCATACAAAGCCTTCAAAATCCTGTGTGTATTTTATATTTAACAGCACATCTCAAACCAGACTCTCATCATTCAAATGCTCAATGGCCACACGTGGCTCGTGGCTACAGTTCTGGACAGCATAGCTCTCTCTCATTCCAGTCACCCCATCATTACGGGGGCCTTGGGTGATGGCTTCTGCTGGGAGACCACCACGATGCACTCACTGCTTTGGAAGTCTGAAGCCCTGCCCCACAGTCCTCGTTCTGCAGGCACGGCGAGAGCTACCCACGAGGGTCCGCGCGACCTGTGTCCCCATCTCATCCCTACTGCTTTCTGGCCATCAAGATCATGTCAGTTCTACTTCCTGAAGCCCCACATGTCAGATGCAGGAAGAAATACCTACATCCAAGCTTACTGTAAGGACTTGACTAAATAAAGGATGTGAAAATACTTTGTAAAGGGAAGAGAGCTCTGCAAAGGTGAGGTGGTGTCTTCCTCACAATGATGGCCTGGTTCTCCTAGTCCACTCGCCCCATACACCTGAGAGGGTCCTGGAAGGCACCAGGGAACATCAGAGAAATGGATCAGATTGAATAAAGGCTGAAAGCAAACCCCATGCCTGTGTCAATCAAACAAGAAAATCAGCTGCTTACAGCACACCCAGACAGAGACTAGAGGAGAATGCTAGGAGTGAGCATTATAGAGAGTATTAGGCAGTCTACTTGCAGGTTAAGCAGTTCTCTCCCTGGAGGTCCTCTTTTAAATGCAAACAAGGATGGGGGGAGGTGATCAAATGGAAAGGGTAGAGGGAGAAATGTGAAAACCAGGAAAAATTCTAGCACTGCACTGGAAAAGACTTTTTCGGGCCAACTTCCTTCCCAAGTAGCAGGAGCTGGTCAACACCCCCGCAGCTGAGTGGCGGAGGGGTGGAGACTGACAGCCACGGACCAGGGTGCTGGGGTGGAGGAGGTTGGGGAGGAAGAGGAAGCGGGAGTCAGGGCCCCTAGTGGGTCCTGCACCAGCTCTGCCCCTCCCCCCAGCTCTGTCTCTCCTTAGATGCTTTTCCAAACAGCAAAATGAGCGAATGGGTTTCTGAGTCAGGAGCCCTGGTACCGTTCCTGTCACTACCCCTTATGAGTTGTGTGTTCAGGTTCACAAGTCACTTCACCACATGGGGGCCTCAGCTTTCTCGTTTCTAAAGGGAGACGATGGCGTCCTCAAGCTGGATAGAAGCAGGGCTCTCCCAGCAATTCCCATCCTACACAAACACCTGAGAAAACGAAAGCAGATGTCCACACAGAAAAAAATGTGTTCACAAATGTTTAAGCAGCATCATTCACAACAGCCTCAAGGCGGAAACAACACAAATGCCCATCAACTGACAAATGCATAAGCTAACTGTGGTATATCGATACAACTGAATATTATTCAGCAATAAAAAAGAACGGTGTGATGAGACATGCGACAGCATGGATGAACTCTGGAAACGTACTTAGTGACAGGAACCAGATACAAAGGCCACGTGTTGTATGATTCCATTTATATTAAATGTCCAGAAAAAGCAAATCTATTTTTAAAAAAGGGGAGGACGGGAGGGTTTGAGTAGACTAGTTGAGGCCAGGGGCTCGATGAAGGGAGGAATGGGGAGTGACTGCTTATTGGGGTTTCTTTTGGGGGTGATGAAAAAGTTCTGGAATTAGATGGTGGTAATGGTTGCACCATCTTGTGAGTGTACAAAAACCACTGAATTGTCCACTTTACAACGGCTGCATTTATGGTATATGAATTATATCTTGATTAAAATATAAAAGCAGGGCCTCTGCCATCGGACTCGGGTCTGAATGCTGCCTGGTTTTTCCGTGTGCTATGTGAGTCCTCATCCAAAAGTAGAGATCATAACAGTGCCCACCTCACAAGGGCGCTGTGGGGATGCGATGCCTGCAGCACACACCTCGCAGTCACTGTGACAAGTATTATATGTTGGCTCAGATTAGTGTTATTACTACTAATGATTAAATAAGGTCCATGATGGGGGAAAAAAACAGGCCCCCAGCAGACATTTAGTGCACCCTTTCCACTGAGGTACCCTCCAGGTCACAGTGTCTGCGAGCCTGTAATCAAGCTGGGAATCAGACGAATGTAATCTGGCATTTTCTGCCTAGCACATAAATGGACCTCTCCCTGGGCTTCTGTTTGCAAAGGGCTGAGCTGGAGACTTCACATTTCAGTTTCCTGTGCTGCGGGGGCACAGCCAGCCTCTCCTTTTATGGAGGACAGTCTGGGAGGCTGCTGGCTTGAGTTTTCTTTAGCAGAGCTGGGCATGCTTAAGGGACTGATAAGCCAGCCGGCGCTGCCCAGGTCGGATCCGCCCAGGAAGAAAGAGGGTGTGGGGGCAAAAGCACATGTGTGTGCTTTAATTCCCAGAAAATTTTTAACAGATTCATGCCAGATCACAAGGGGCCACGGAGAGTCCTCATACGCCTTTCTCTGCACCTACTCCCCCTCCTTGGCACAGTGCACACATGGCGGCGGCGGCCACCGCTCACAAGGAGACCTGTCGACTTCGTTCAGTAACACTTTGCCACGAGGGCTCTGCTCGATAACGTAAACTAAGAAATGGCTAACTTTAAACTAAGCTTGAATGTTGTAATAGGAAAGGAAGTAACTGAGAAGAAGCAGAGTTTTAAAAAATTCTCTAACATCTTTAAAGGTATGACTG